AACCCGTATCGTAATATCCTTTTTCTAAATCATTTTTCAATTATTTCAAAAATACAAGACTCCTTCTTTCCAGGTTTCAATGATAGAGATCAATTTTTTCGAATAAACCTCGTAATGATCGAATTAACCCTTTGCACCCGTAATAAATTAATTCTATTACGAGCTCTGAACTTCACTCCGCTCGTGCTTGTTCATAAATATTGTGTCTAAAGCACGCGACGAGGTAGAACAGAGGAGGCAGGATGAAAAAGAAGATAACCAGTCGAGAATCACGACAGACGATGCTGAACGACGTGCCGGTTCGTTAGGAGCCGCGACGATATGACTTATTTAATCGTCCGGGATGAACGTTAACGAGCCTCTCTATGAGCATCCTCAAATCTTTTCAACTTTACTTGCCCAGAGTTGCATGAAGCACGATTAGATGTTCAAACAAGATTTTGTTGCAAATAAAAATAATCTTCTCATTTGATTTCGATAAGTGAATTAAAATTAGTCTGCATCGAGCGGGCAGGAATGAAACAGCGAACTGTTAAATAGACAGTCGAATTCCAAGCGCAATTGAGTTATTCGAAGCCAGGGATAGATGATTCCTTTCCCGTGAAAAGCCATCGTTCGAATAGCCATGCAAACAATTACGTAACAACGTGGTAGACTGGTCGATTCGCTCAATGTCGGTCATTAATTCAGCTTTTAACGGGCAATAGTGTATCCATCGGAATTCGGAGACAGGGCAGTTAACAGTTTAAAAATTGATTCTCTAGCCAGTAGCCAGGCATCCGTTTTCGACCTCGTCTCTCGACGAGTTCTCTCTCTCTCTCTCTCTCTCGAAACTGTAGCCGCCTTTGACAGACTGGCGGCTGGCGTGAAAACGCTCGCCAATTAACCCGTGGTGAATTATGCACCGCCCCTTACCCACTAATTTAGTAGGTGACTTATGTCGTACTTGCCAGCCGACAAGCCTTGGACGAATTCGAGTACCAGCCTCAACTGTAAGCTCCCTCTTCTTCTTCCTCTTCTTCTTCTTCTTCTCCTTATTATTCTTAGTCTTTTTCTTCGTCTTGTCGTTGGCTCGGTGTACGCCTCGAGCCGCTTCTCTTCTCGATCGCGAACAGCCGGACATCCGGCAAACCCGCGAGCACTCCTTTGAAGTTCTTTGAGCGAACGAATTCGCGGGATCGTAGACCGAATGAAATATCGCTGTCGTTCTTTCTGCATCCTCGACGCGGATCCAGCGCGTCCCTTGCTCCGATAGAACACGCTCCAGACTCGCATTACTCCTCGAGGATTACTTAGTTTCCACTCGCAATCGGTTTATTGCCGTCTCGTCGCCGTTTCCTTGCAACGCACCGTGAAATTTCTTGCCGACAGACACTTTCGTCGAATTCTTGCGACAAGATTAAGGAAATTACAATGTAGACGATCGGTAGATAAGGAGATGCGAAAATTGGAGACGAGTCGGAAAAATTCGATAATATTCGATGGAACGGAAAGGGAACGGCGCACGCGACTTTTTCGTGTAATCGCGCAGGAAGTCGAAGAGTTACTGCCTGCCGTTGGTATTCGGCCACACGATGGTTTATTCAGGAACAATAGATAGTCCGCAGCATCCGGGACCTACGTCGAAGAGGAGCGGCCGCATCAAACATTCGATGCCGAGGCCACAAATCGGGAAGCCAGACGTCGACGATATATTATGATCGTCACGGACGTCCACGATGTTCTTTACCGATTCATGTTGTTGTCCATGTCGAGGAAAGGGGAAAAAAAAAGGATGGAAAAGATCTCGTTCACGAAGATTTCCCATGTTCTCTTTATTCTATATCCAGTTCAACGTCTTTCGATCCCACGGAAGTAGATGATTTTACGATTCTGTCCGACTTTAGATCGGCTAAATCGAATCTATCGCGAACGAACAACTTTATCGACAGCAGTTGGACTATTTTTACGAGAATACTAAAAGTTTAATTGACGAAGTTTAAACTTCGATCGAGAAGGGGATGGAGGAGAGTCTAGAAAAAAAGAGCGGAGATGCGCGTATGCTTCGAGCGATAAAAGGGTGGTTAAAAGAGAAATTGAAAATGCGATCTTTTAGCCGGTCCTTCTTCTTTCCTCAGCCCGGTGCCCTTTTTCTCTTGGTCCCTCGCGTTGGTCCGCTTCGAGAGTAATCTACACGGTCACGGCACGATCTATCACTCGTACAACGAAAGTTTGACGCAACGTCAAAACGCGAGCCCCGTTAATTTTTCATGTCGTTTCACCCGGAACTCGCGCTGTAACTGCGCCCTCCACCCCCGTTCCCTCGTCACCCATCCTCGTCCTCTCGATCCGCGTCCTCGACGCTGGTCCAGCAAGTTGTTTCGACGCTGCCATTCATTATTCACCACCTACACGACTATGCTACCTTTCGACACGCGGCACGCAGTTGCGCAAAGATTCTCCAACGGAGAAGAACGAACCGGGAGGCACGTGTTCAAGTTCAAATTATATAGCATGTTAGATAAAAAAATTGCAAACTGAATGGGTGCAAAGAGTAAGTTCAATTTAAAGAGAAAGAAGCTAAGAGTGGAGACCCCCGTATACCCCGTTACCAGTGCAGAAACTTCAATTAGACGGCGTGATAAAAAAAAAAAAAAAGAGTTGAAAAGACGCGGAAGCCTAATAAAAATCTTTCGCCGCCCACGACTCCGTTAATTACCATAAGTTAATTACAACGACGTGAAAGCAGCCTGGCTGAGCCACCCCCGGCTCGGTTCGCTTCCACCCTCGACTGTACGTACATAAACGCGCATATACACGTATATACTGTGCACGATGCAAGAACTTACCGTGCCCACCCCCTTCCCCCCGCCTTATCACCTTTCCCACCCCCATCATATTTACGAGGCGAACTTTGCTTTAAGCCTGCCGATGTTTTAACTTTATCGCGACGAAAGTATGATTTTACGAGAAGCCCACGGGCTAAATATGCCCGCGTCGTAAAATTAACGGCGTTTCCATAAAGGAATCCGGTGTGCTTGCGTTAAAACTCGATAAAAGCCAATAAAGCATCGCCACGGAGCGGAGTTTAGTATAGTTTATCGTCCCTTCCCTTCAACAGCGAAGTCACCAGCGGTCCGTCGCTAACCCGCGCCCATTTGCAGCGTCCTCGGATAAGACTTACGAGGATTCTAAGGAACAAGGGTTCGAGGACCTTTCTCACGATCCTCTGGACTCGATAGGTCTCGCTAGATGGTGTTCATTTTTATTAACTCCTCGACTAATCGACCTTATCAAAGTTGCAATATTTTTGCATTCGAAAGGATGAACGGCAACGTTAAAGGGCGTCGAAGCGAATGGTCATCGCGTTTCGATGACTGTATCGGGAAAAGATTGTAATAGAAGGACTTGACGATCCCGAGTTATTTCATCGATGAATCAGTGCACGGCACCGAGGGTGTTCACGTACAAGGTCCTCGTATACTTGTAGGATAAGTGGTCGATTATCGTCCGTTCGCTTGGCTGACGCCACTAAAAACTGCATCCCCGTTGGGCGGTAGATATCGTTGTCTCGGTCAGTACGCCGCGGACACGATCGTTTTACAAGTGAGCTACTATATTGGTAATGGGTCGGTTTATCTGCGACCAGGTACCAGGACCCGTGATCGTCCCGCTGGATACCCTCCTGCCTTAGACTCCCTTTCTTCCGTGTACGTACCTGCATTTTTCTACATCAGTATCTTTATGGTGGCATAAAACGAGTTTACCGGCCGATTTAAATGCCGTTCGCCACATTAACCGCGTGCCGCCGTACGTTTCTGCAATGCTAAAATCAGACGTATACTCGCGCCACCGTAATCGCGTGTACAAAGACAAATTAATTTCATTTACTTCCAGGAGAAAGTTAACCTACTGACTTCTCCTCTTCCGTCTCGACTACACGCTTCACCCTGTCCAAAGGTTCCTGGCCCTTACGCGGTCACCCTGAATAAATACTCGTCCGATTTTCGTACGGGCAGGACACGAGGCAAAGGCCAAACTTGCGGATCGTCGTCGTTGGAAGAAGAAGAAGAAGAAACGAAACGTAAAGGGACACGAGCGTCCACATAACTCTGCGGGATCTAGCGAGGCCGGAGCGAAGCAGGGGAAGGACCCCCACAACCCTTTGAAGGTTTATGCCGATTCAGGAACGAGTTGATTCATGAAGACGGGATGGACCTCCTTGGGATCCGCAGCTCGCTGCCCCCAAGGCCGTGGCGGGTGGTCCCGCGGCTTGATTTCTTGTTTCCTCCACCATGCTCGATCTGGCCATTCGTGTGTCTCTCTTTCTCTTCACTCGCAACCGGCAAGAACGAGACGGCGAAACGGAATCGGCCACCGCTCGTGAGACAACGACAGAGGACGAAAAGCAACCAGGGCGAAAGAGGTGAACAGGGATGAGAGACGAAGAGAAAGAGAGAACCAATCGCGTTCCCTGCTGTCCCTGTATACCTATAGCGATTGTCGATTTAAATGTTTACTAATAACCAAGCTTGTCCCGCAACCACCCAGAAGTCGGTCGCTTTGCATTTTTATAAGTACATCTTACGGCCGGCTTCCAAGAACGGGGCACCGTTTCATATTCATCTGCCGCGCCGCTGGCCGACTGTCCTCTGCGTTGCCTCCGCTCCTCTTCTGCCGCGTATTGTCTCTCCTCTTTCTCTTTCTTTGCAACGGGATGCATGCGTTCGCGATTAGCCAGCAAACGGCATAATGATTCGCGTTCCGCGCTCCACCGCCAACAGGCAACACGATTCGGCGTAGTCGAAGTCGTCGAACGGAATTATCCAGGTGATCGTTACACCTGGGAAACGTTATTTCGGACAACGAATATTCTTATTAAAATTAAATTACCAGGCATTCTACAAGATCACTTACCTTTTTCTCGGTCGAAGCCAACGGAAGGGAAGAGGTGATCGATCAAACGGGACGGGTAGACGGGGAAAAGCAGAATGACGAGGCATCCCAACATATTTTTTTCCTTTTTTTTTTTTTATAATGACTCGTTTATTGCGAAAGGACACAGTCTGCAAGCCATCTGCCAATGTGGCATCAGCGAGCTCGCGTGAATTTTGGACACGAATGACTAAAAGGTGATGGCGATCGTTCACTCTCGACACGACATGATATGTTGACAGTCGCCGCGCCCTGCGAGCGTCGCGCCTCGCACAACCAAGGACTTTTCCCAGCTCCGATAGTACGTCTATGTGTGTGTGTGCCTTTTTATTTTCTCCTATTTTCACCCTACTTTCCTCGGGTTCGAGAGCGGTACACCTCTCGCGACTGCGGGGCGCAACGCGAATTCTAAGTCAGCCAGATTACGGCCGGAGCCGAGGCGCGTTCGATGAAAGCGCGAAATAAAAGGATGATAGAAAAATTCCTTGAAACGGTGTCGTCGATTACGATTAATAACCACCGGCTCGAGGATAAGGAGTTCGCTCGAATCGAATAAATAACTAATAACTATGAAATGATAAACTTTGGATTGCGACTTTCAAAGATCTATACCCTCTAACGAGTCCTCCGTAATCTGTCACAGCGATCAACGATCCATACCTCGTCATGATCGACCGAGTCGACGTGAATCGATAATATTATAAACATTGCAATAACAATAATAATGATCAGAATAATAATAATAATCAGAATAATAATAATAATAATGTTCATCATCATCGTCGTCGTTAGTATGAATTATGATCTCAAATATTATAATAATAATATCGTAGCTACTCTACATACAATACATACACTGGCCGGACGCTCTCTACTGGGCCCTCTCTACTATTTACAAACGCATAAATAATTATTATTATTATCATCATCGTGTATTTATATATATAGTATTCTTTCGTATAATATTACTTGCCGAATAGACACGCCTAGGAATAGAGTTCTCCTGTTCTTTATTTTTTTTTTTTAAACCGCGAGATAACCGCTGTTGCTACAAAGATCATGAAACGGGTCTACGATTCGTTATCCTTTTTCCTGCGAGAAACAGAAAATATCTTGCGACCGAGGACGAGAGAGATATAGAGTAGGAACTAAAGGAGAAAGGAGTCGGGAATTGGTGGAAGCGAAATTGAAAATTACGAAGACAGAGAGACTAGGAATCGTGACGGGGGGCCAGGAGACGAGGGGACGCGGGGTTCAATTATTAATGTATCTCGTTTCGAAGTTCAGTTACTGTACACTAATTACAAGATTGTAGTCTGTTATTATTGTCATCCACACCACACAGAGTCGAACGGCTGCGCGGCGATCCGTCCCTCGACATTTCAATTTATATTAGTCCGTGCTCGGTTCACGGGAATCACACTCGTCCCGGAGACTTGAGCTCCTGCGTGGGCGGTAAACTTCCACTGGGATGAGGGGACTGATCGGACCCACCCGAGGAGGCGGTCGACGAGGAGGAGGGGGAGAGGCCCGAGGTGGCGGTAGTCAAGAGAACCGCGGGTCCACCAGGCGCGCCACTACCCCCGTTAATCGTAAAAGGTTTAACGTTACCACTGGCAGACACCGCCGACGAGGTGGACGTAAGTATGCTGGGAGCCGTGGAGGGTGGCATCACGCCGCTCAAACCGCCCAGGGTCCTCGAGTAAGTCTCCAACAAGGACATGTCACCGGATCCTAGGTGAGAGGCACCGTAAAGGTTCCGGTAGAAATCCGGATGCGGCCGTACGAACTGGGTACCCGAGTGCATCGCCGGATGAAGAGGATGATGAGGTGGTAAACGACTGGCCAAAGGGCTCACCAGTTTTCCGCCTCCACCGGCCACTCCACCACCGCCCCCGCCGCTTCCGCTGTACGGAGACGAGAGACCGGTCATCGTCGTCGGATTGGGACTCGGCTGATCGCAATCCTTGCTCGCCATGTCGGCCAACGACCAAATCCTGGGCTTCGTGGTGACTCCGCTGCCGGTCGAGGAGGCGGTGGTGCTCGGTGGAAGATGATGACTACTCGGTGGGGTGCTCTCCGGCGACGGATGACGCAGGAGTCGACCATGAGCGGACGCCAGGTAGGCCGGATGCTGAAGTTGCAACGGATGCCTTGGCTCCCTCTGGTCGTACAGACACTCTGGACTGTCTGGCCCACTGTCGGCCCGCGACTCGCTCCATTCGCTCTCGGTCCTACCCTGCACCCCGGTCGACCCTCCGCTGGTACTGTGCAAAAGGTCCATCCGGTGCGCCGGTCGTTCTCCGTCCTCGCTCGATCCAGTGCCCGAATCTTTCGAGTCTGAAGCAGAGAAGGGGACTGTGCGTTGACGAGGAGGAAGTTTCATTTACAGACGCGGAAAGCAGGAACACGAAAAATAAAAGAGGAAGAATGTGGATGAATTTTGTTATCGATGATCCTTACCTAGTCGATCTTTCTCATCGACGCTCTTTCTCCCGCTGTCGTCGTCTTCGTTGTTGTTGTCCTCGTCCTCGACCCTATTCCTCGGCTCCCACGTCATCTTGTTCTCTTTCTTGAGACGCCTCCGCGCGTTCGCGAACCACGTGGACACCTGCGTCAGAGTCATCTTCGTGATGATGGCCAGCATGATCTTCTCGCCTTTCGTTGGGTAAGGATTCTTCTTGTGCTCGTTCAGCCAAGCCTTCAGGGTGCTCGTCGTCTCTCGCGTCGCGTTTTTCCGTCTCGCGCCGTTCAGATCCATGCCGTAACTGGAACAAAGTAAGTTACGCACCCGTTACACCACAAAGTCCTTTAACCGTCCTCCTCGTCATCTTGGATGTTTAATCTTGGAAAAGGTTCAGCTTCGTTAAGAGACATCGAACTGTAAGAAAGTTTTTCAATGGAAGACTCGAAGTGGTCCTTTTATTAAGTCCTTCGATGGTTGCTCCTTCTCATCGTCGTAGGATGCACGTGACCCGGATATAACGCTGTCGGGGACGAACACAAGTCGCGCGATACGTTATACCAGCAAACTGGATAAGAGAGACAGCTCAGGCAAAGAGCGGGGCAAGAAGGAGGAGGAGGAGGAGGAAGAAGCAGAAGAAGAAGAAAGCAAAGCCTCCGATGGAAGCTCGTGTCGGGAAACTTATCCAATCGTGAGGCTCGTTACGCCTTCCCCAGAGCTTGGTATAAAAGTCCGAGTCCTGCTCGGTTAGAGGAACGATATAAGCGGGTAGCTACTACTTTCATCCCGAGAGCAGATCTCTATCTAACGGTTTAAGCTCCTTCCTTCCATCCCGAGCAGGAGTGGAGTGGAAAAGGAGTGGAGAGAGCGTCGTGTGCCCTCCTCGCTCTTCCGTGCGTCTCACCCAGTCGGACCGAAGCGACCGACCCCCTGGGATCCCATTACTAAAAGACTAACCCTTATCAAAGATTAAACTTCGGTATAACTGCTGAATCGACGGGATCGAAATTAAATTTTCCAGCCGTCGACTGGGACTCGGGAGATGCTTACTCCCTTCTTCCATCTCTTTTTCTCCTTTCTTACTTTTTACCTTGTTTCAACCAACCCTCGATTTCCCTCGCTCGTTGCGGTCTTCCCGCGATCCTCTCTCCCTCTCGTTGCTTACTCTTCTCTTCCGACCTTTTACCGAGTTTCAGAATTCGAGGGAACGCCGACAATTTTATTACAACCCTTTCGCGGACGACCGACGTACGTATTCGTCGATCCTCTGAATAATCCTGAAACGAGTTATCGTTGACTCGAGAACGCACCTTTGTCTGCAAGATTGCAGCGTGACAGAAAGCCGGAATTATTGAGTTTTATTCCGAAGCTTTTTCGTTGGAACGCGAGGTAGATAGAGAGGATACGGTAAGGGGTTGAAAACGTGTGTGGACGGGCGGGACTGACGTTGCCGGTGTTGGTAGCGGATCGAGGGGGTTGCAGAGGGTGGCAGTGACGGGAGGAGATGGGAAATTAATAAAACTGTCACTTATCTACCCTTCCCCGAGGCAGGCCTACACGCGGTATCTCTTCCCTCTTTCTCCCCTATCATTCCCTCCTGCTTTCTTCCATTCGCGGCTCTATCCCTCTCTCTTACTCACCAGGCTACACGCGGGATTCGCAGCAGCTGAAACGAGGCGCTAAACATTTCAATTTGGCATCAGCCGCTTCCAACGAGAGCGTGTAGACGAGCGGAATCGCTGGCGCACAGTTATACACACACACACACACGAGCTCGCGTTTTTCTCGATTCTCTCTGTCTCTCGTTCTCTTATCCGTCCAGAATGGAGGGTCGAAGTAAACGGACGGAAAGAGAGCGAAAGATCGAGAAGGGAAGAGAAAGGGATGAAACAGAGAGAGGAAGAGGAAGAGATAGAAAAAGAGAAGGAGAAGAGAGGATGGCTTAACCCCGGTCTGTTTGCGAGGAGCAAATGGCGTTCTGCAGTTATTTTAAAATTCAGCCGGTGGCAGGGGGTGCGGATCGGATTAAAAAATCAGAGTGGAAGCTTGTTTCTCATGATAACAGCCAACCGCCCCCGAGAGCGGAAACTGCTGCTTTCTACCGATTCCGTCCTTTCTCTGCCATCCCCTGCGTCGATCCTCTATCTCTCCGCCTCTTTCACGTTCACTGATCCTTTCTCTCCCTCTTCGTTTCACTGTTTCCTTTTCCTCCTCCCATCGCGGAGCATTTTTTTCCTTCTGTTTCCTCGCTTCTCTCAATCTGTACCTCTCGCACGGCCTCCGCTATCGCATATATCCTCGTCATTGACTACTTTGAATGCCATTCGAAAATCCTCTACTATCCCTTCGGTTAAGTGATTTTATTTTCCAATTAATCTGAGATAATGTTTTCTATGATATTTGTCGCTATCTAGACGCGATATCTTTTAGATTTTATATTTCAAGCACGATATAAAAAGTGTTTACTGCTAATGTCCTGGTAAAGAATTGAATTTTGTGTCGAACGATAGCGTGGGAGAAACATTCCCGCAAGCACGAGGGGATGAATCGAGAGAGCGTATCAACCATTAAAGTCCATCGAAACGGCCATTTCTCGCGACCCTCAACTACCCGCCGGTTAACGTAAACGCGTTTGTCATGGCGTAGCCTTTAAGGGGATAAAAAGGGGGATGAGTGACCATGGGCAGTTTGAAAGCGAGGCAGGTGTGCGGTTCGTGCGACTCCGCCCCTCGTTACCACTCGTAACTAGGGGTGATATCCGACTTCTTTCCTTCCCTCTTTGTCCAACGCGACGGAAGCCTCGCTCCGTCTCCGTCTATCATTCGAGCACACCTTTTCAGGTAGGGTCGCGGGCTTCGGTCCGCTTTATCAACGCAAAGGTGCAGCCATTTCGGTGACGGGCGCCATCTTTTCCCCCCTCGTAGATACGTGTGTGCACGCACACGGGCCGACGCGACGCGACGTTTCACTCGCCTACAATTTCCAGCCATGTGCTTCTCGGCCTTTCGGTTTAATCAACCGCGAAGCCACGCCAACCCGACCACGCGAACGCGGCCCCTTTCATCCGTCCGTTCGTCCTCCTTCCATTGTCTTTCGCTATCCGTCCAGAACATCTTCGGAATTACAAGCAACGCGCCGCGAGTTTTACACGGTAACTGGAAGGAATTAAAATTGCCTTTGGAAATCACCGCAACCGGACTTTTCGTCGCGGGTATTTCTCTCGATCGAAGAGAGAAGGAACTAGGTAAGAGAGTAGACGAGAAAGGGATTTTCACTCGGCAATTTACACGAGGAGCGTGTGTACACGCGCGATGTCGTCGCGTTAAGCTTTTAGAAGCGTTCAGGAGAGACGGGAGGGAAGTTTTGCGCGAACCTGGTGACAGCCGGTTGTTCCACATCCAACTTTATTACCGGTTGCTAGCGACGTGACAGATCGATCGTAAACTCGACGATTCACTGGTGTACGTGTACGTCTGTACACCGGGGCTGTTTTACGTGTGTTAAGAACACCGAACGGAGGAGAATGCCCGCGGATACGCGAGGCAATCGTACGTGCGCTCATGCAAAACTCCACTATCTCTCTCTCTCTCTCTCTCGAGACACGGCAAGCAGACATCGAAAAGAGAGATTATACAACCTGTCGCTTTCTCTGTCGCTCGTTGTATCACACGGTGAACGTAACCGAGTTTATATAAAATGATACACGGTCCGCTACTTTGTTATACGATCGTTTAAATTCATCTCGAGAACGCACGTACACAAAGTAGCCCCCGTGGGCCGCGATTAAAGTCACTCCGCGTTGAATTATCGTCCACCGAGATTACTCTTCGACTTACTGTTATGGCTAACTCGAGAAAATTTACTAAACCGAATGATGGAGCTCGAGATCCGCTGCTCGCCTCTTGTAACATAGTATCGTTACAATGAACCTTTATAGTTCGTTTCAGAATACGACGCGTTGAACGAAAGACCTGGTTATATACACAAGTGTGCTAGAGTTCTCTATATAATTGAATACACTGCATAAAATAAAATAAACGTCTTCCACGATGGATATCCAAGAGGAAATGATTTTTTCCATAAATAATTTAATAAAAACCTCGGTACACCTTTGATCTCCTTAACGGTAAGTACCGATCACGCGAGAGTTCACTAAACGATCGACCTATAAATCGCACGTAACGCGGCCAGGTTGACCTTTCGACGTCGACACGCGTTATCCGTAAAAGCATTCGCCTAGTCGCGAAAGGGGTGCGGCACAGTCATTAAATCATTGCATTCGAGGTTCGACGTGGCTTAATCTGCGTCCATTAAGGCTAATGGGGAAAAAGCTGGAAGACTCGGGCAAGGTAGAGCCACGTAGACTCGACGGAACGCTGTCATCTGCATGTCGATGAAGGAAGACGAGAGGGAAACGGAACGCGGCGTCCTTTTGTCGAGGAAAAACGCGTGTCGCTGACTTTTCACCCGGTCCACGTTCCCGTACCGTGCAACCCTTGCCAGTGGCGTGCAAAAACCACCCTCTAGAACTAAAACCGGGTCATTAAACGGCCGTACATCATCGCGGGACGTGACACATCCGTGAAGTTGAATGTTGGAGGGCGTGGATACCGGGACCAAACTCATTAGCCCTGGATATTCCCAGTTTGCGTCGGATCGACCGGCTTGAAGGATCGTTTCCAGTTTGACGAGTAAACCCATGTACGTTATCCATCGGATAAATTTGTTATCTTTGCTCGAAGATAGATAAAACAAAGATTTGGTGCATCGTGACTTTGAAAGTCACAATTATCAAATCGTTACAACAAAGATTCGTCAAACGAATCGAGAAATATTAAAATAGAATAGAAGAGAAACGTGTAACTACATCGTAGATTCGTCGATAGACAGACGAGCTTGTTGCACGGTCTCGGCTGCAGAATGAATCAGATGCACCGTGATTGCAATGTAATTCCATTGCGAGCGAAGACAGCAAATATTTGATGGAGCGTTCGAAAGGGGTTGGCAACATACTCGGAGCGTAAATCAAATAAGCGATCTTATCGACGGAACGTACATTCGCTGTTGGCAACGCTAAACGGTCTACGATAGGATCGCCGTGTATCGTTCCCTGCGTTTTACTAAATAATGCACCGCAAACTTTCGTACGCCAGAGACATTTACGCAATCGGGGACGAGACCTTTTCGTATGAAACTCGGGTTAATCTTATCGAGTTTGCCCGTGATCGCAGACCATGGTTATCGTTGAGAATCAATTTTGACAAAGAGAGAGAATCTTAATATAATATTAATACTACTTTATTCGTATTAAATTCGCGGTGCCAATCAATGGCACGATCATCGCGCAATTGGACGCATCAATTATTTAACCTCCGTAATTAAAACGTTAGCGTCGTGTCGGACAAATGTATCAATTCTTCAACGAGATAATCGCGAATGAGAAGCGATCAACACGTGGCACGGTAAGCGTGCTATCCGTTCCTCTCGAAAACGATCCTTGCCTCGAAAAAGTCAATCCTCCAACGTCTCTATTCTATTCCGTTCGAGTTTGCCACCACGAGAATTTGACGACGAAGGTTGAGCACGCATTAATTCTACGGAAGAAAAGCGGACGAGGGTCTGACAGATAGATCGGAAAGGTACGATAGCGAGGCTGAAAATCGTGGAGAAGGTGCGTGTATCTGTGCGCGTGTGTGCCGAACGATCCAAGAAGAGTATTATGGCAGAGCGTGCGCGGCGGTCGTTTGACATAAGCATACAAAAAGCCAATAATGCAGAGTTAGCATGCACGGCCGCGAGGTCTTGGGATCGTTCGGGTTAACGGTCTCGTCTTTCCGGCGGATTGGCCCTGCTTCCGGGGACATATAGGGTAAACAATAAGAAACAAGCGGCCGATGTGTGTAGCGCAGTCGTTACTTGTACGAACAGCAGAACCGTTTACGTAGAGCTGACTGACTCTTGTGTCCGGCTTCGATTCTCTTCCCTTCGGCACTGCTTCCACTCTCCTCTCCACTTCTCTCCACACGATCAACGACACGTATTATTAAGTGTGTCCGTACAACGACCGATGTGTCGGCACGCGCTTCGAGCCTCGAGCGCGTTTAAGGACGTCGGGACGACCCGCGAATCTTAATCAATTCGCGAGAGAGTACGAACAGGTGCAGGTGAACGCGTATGGTGTAGATTATTAACGATACTAGGTGTCAAGTATTCATGCTTCGATCGAAATCTTCGTTTATCGCAAGATAATGAAATGAAAATCAATTTCCTACGAACGAAGAGAAATCAAAATTTTGTTGCAGAGAAGAGAAAGAAAATGCTATGTCGGTTAAAGAAATATCGATGTCGATTGGGTAAGGCCGCAGGTGCATTCCGGATCTTCCGGTAATTGTTATCGCGTGGGGTAGTGGTCGGTTCCGGTGTGGACCGGCGGTAGGTCTCCGTAAAGGAAGACCCGGTGCGCGAACCGACTAGACCGAATGGATGCTAAGCAAGCTGTAGTACCCGATCGCTTCCTTGCATACGAAGCAGTCCCAACCGGAAGTGCGTCACGCGGCAGTATAGATTCCACGAGGTGACACTGACCACTCGTCGGCTCGACCACCATCGTCAGACCGACTATCGCTACGTGATCACCGATCCCGTTTCTTCGCACCAGATAACGAAAATATTTCGAAAAATCAATCGATGCGTCGTAAACGCAATACCGAAGTAAATAGATAAATATTCCGTAATAATTCTCTCTGTCAGAGAGAATCGCGACGTGTTTACAAATTCGCGAATTCAGATTACGAGTTTATTCGTGGCTGACGGGAATATCGCTTTTCTAAAAGAAGCAGCAATTATATTAATCGACAGTGACATTTATAGGAATCAATTATTATCAGTCGTGTTTTCGAATGTTTTCAAACTTACTCTCGCGTGATTGTAACAGCTGTATCGTTCCCGTGGAAACATAAACAATATATTGTTTTTGTAAAGTATCAATAAAGAGGGATGGTTGTAAATTTGATTATTAACGGGTTGATTGTCGCGGTAGAATTAACTGTGTCCAGAAGAATTGAACGTACAAATGAACGTTTCGCGATGCGCGACTCCCACGTTCTTCGCTCAACCCTTTCCTCGTTTTCTAATTGTTTACAATCATCGATCCCATTAGCGAGTCGTAAAAGCCTGCTTACAAATCGGTCGGAGCGTCGGTTCGGCGTCCCTGGCCGAGGCGTCGAACTCCGGAGACACGATTGATAACGCAACGGGAGGGAAGGGAAGGGGGAAGAGCGATGGAAAAAGAAAAAGGAAAAATTGAAAAATTCATCGATCGGGCACCCGGAAACGCAGATAGGCTGACTAATTATCGTGCGCTCTCGAACTCGAGGGCGCTTCATCTTCGAAAAGGCATCTAGGAACCAGCAGGCGAGAATTCGTAATCTCGAGAAACGACGCGGTCGATATACGATTTCGATTTATCAAAACGGGCGAGACCTTTCACCGGTCGCATCGTGACACGCGTTGACCGATTCGAGCGAGCCAGCGCGAGAATAAAAACGCCCAAGGCGACAGTCCCGGGTCAGAGGAGCGCTAATTTATTGGAATGTTTATGTGTTTCTCCGGCTCGTTATCGGGCTGTGCGCGAAGAGGGCAGATCGATGATCGAGAGGAGGCGCGAAGCGGAGAGAACCGCGTCGTAACCAAAGGGGAACTCTAACTCTACTCCTATTTGCTTTCGTGCGAGAAAACAGGAGCGTAGATTTCACGACACGTGCTCAACGCCAAACAGATAATTCTCCAAACTGCGTGAAAGAAAAATTTTCCGACCGATAATATTATTAATTGAAACTGTGTTATGTATTCCCGATCGGCGCACGATCGAAAAGGTAAAAATCATTCGAAAGTTTTCAGACGATCGTATTTGAACATAAAGTACAAATGCTTAGAATAATTACGGGATTACCTACTCGAATGGCTGAATACACGGTACAAAGTAATTTCGAGGATCATACACGCGGCTGAGTGAGTTTATCGCCGGCCGAAGAGGTATATAAGGTGCCTCGGAATAGCTCCGAATCGGGCATAAAATACACTTGGTACTTTAAATACGTAATATTTCTTTCGGAATAGTCCATAAAATTGAGCCCCTTAATTGTTCAAGGGGCACGTGTGTAATTTTGGATTTAGCGAAGGTACGGATAAAAGAGGATGTTATTTAACGCGTTGACTATAACGGTTGAAATATAATAAAATATTGGTTATAAAATTGTTGTTGAATTAACTCACCCGTTGAAGGGATAGCTGGCAAAAGCGGCATCGTACGGATGGTAGACGGATGGATAAGGCCATGCTGCCGCGGCTCCTGCGCCAAGATTTTCCTTCAGATCGAGGCCAGCAGCCTGCAAAACCGAAGCAATTATACTTGTTAATAACGCGGCCAACGCCTCGCATGAGTAATTAACGCGCCGCGTGCAAGGAAAAGAGACGAGAAACGGATTCCTTGATGCACGATTAGCTGGCAACGCTCGTTCTAAACTGGAGCAGAGTTCTGTGATCGCAAAACGAACGAAACCGTGACACTATCGTTCCGCTACCGATTCATCGAACTTTTAACAGAAGTCTTGAGAGAACGAACCCATCGCGTGTCTCACGAATCGTTCGTTCGACGTTCCACGTCCACCTTTTTTTATTCGTCCAATTTTTAATTACCCGCCTGTCGCGTATCGTCGTTATTCAATCTATAAAAACAACAGCAACAAGAAAAAAAAAAAATTCAAGACCCTTTCAATCAGCAATATCTCTGTTTCAGCACCCCGGTCGGTCGAACCGACGGAAATATTCATTTTTCGAATGACGCGACGATTAATTGGCGTCGTTCGGTCGGCCGGGATTATCAGCAATTCATCGACGATAATGAGAAAAATAGCTGGCACAGCAGCGATAACAATAATTAGAATCGATGTGTGCCGTCGTTGTTTGTTTCTGTAACCCGTAACCCCGGACACGGTTCGTCTCCATACCGGCTGCATTTAAACTACCATCAACCGGTGGAATAATAGAACCATAGTACGTAGCCCCCTCCCTCCGCCCTCTCACTCTCACGACCCCTTCTATCGCTCGTTCGTTCTCTTGTTCTATATGCATTAGTCTTGCATTAACGGCATTAATTATATACCGTGTTCGAATGGCGTAGTCATCGGCCGACCAACTCTAATTAGTACTTCAAAATAGCGGATGGTGAATTGCGAAATGGATCGACGCGAAATAGGGAACACTTAACCCTTTACACTTCTCGCGCCAACGACGAATATTAATTGCCGAACATCTACTCCGTTCGGACGATCAGAAAAATTCTCAACTATCCATTTATTTCGAGATAAGTTTCTCTGATGCGATTAATTAATCGTCAATTTTCTATGATGCGTACGCGCGCCGGTTCGGAGTGAAAGGATTAAAACCTCGATACTCTACGTACATCAAGTACAATGGTATCACACGGTGATACCACACACAACCTGTGATCCACTGGCTGGTTAGGAGGAGGCCACTCTGTACGGTCGTTCCTTAAGCTCGATCATAAAGAGCGACGATAACAGGCAAGCCACGGCGACCGCTTCGAATACGACAGTGTCCCACTGTTACGGCAGGACGTATTCATAAATTTACGCTTTGCGACTAGTTTCTTCGTGTACCCGCTCTGTGTGTGGTCCCGATAACCTTCTCTCTTTCACCATCGCCGGCCTCCTTTTTCTCGCGTATATTAACATCGATGTCCATTCTAGATCTCTCACCGCGATAACACCTCGATTAAAGGGTATAGAGCAGGAAAGAAAATTTCGCGATATCTGGCTTAGAACGCGACCTGGACTACGTTGGCCGATCGTCGCGAAGTTCCTTATCCGAACGATGAAACTCGCCGCGATCCGAGATAACCGAGTCGATTCGTGCGAACGGTATTTTAATACCGGCTATACACAACTTGCCACGCAAAATTTATATACATTCGCGATTGAACGGCGAGGAGAAACGGGAAAATTTGTAAAGATCTCCGAGCCACGATGAAATTAATTACGCGTCTGGTAATAAAAGGAAAAAAGAATTCGTCGAATGCGAACGTGGTAAAATGAAATTTTAATATTCTCCTCGAGCGAAATGTCGTGAGTATGACCAGCGAACTTCTCGTTAATGTTGACATTTATTACATAGATGATAGAGTAATTGAAACTCCTTTCTACATTTATGAAGAATCTACCGATGGAATTGTATCTGGACGAATAAATGTATAGAATTCCAGGTAGCAATCATCATCGTACGCAAATAAGGTAAAGAATGTTGACGTAAAAAGAATCCACGAATACCGCGTATCAAAATCGGGAATACGTGAGAGCAGCCGTAAAATCGTGAAACCCGCAACGAATTCAACGACGACGCATCGATGTAATAGTAAAGTAAATTTTGAAATAAACTCACCGTGGGCGTGTAGAAGGGCGCTTGTTCGGCACCTAGGCTCGGAAAGTAGGCGGCCATCCCTTCGGAAGCCGCGGCCGCGGCCGCAGCCGCGTAAGGTGCGCTGTACATGGACAATGCTGCCGTCGGTAAACCTCCGAGTCGTTGGTAACCGCCTAGAAGGTCGTACTGACAAGAACAGACGGTCTGACCGGTCAAAGGATCGGTGAAGATCGGTCTTCCAGTGTCGCAACACCTTCCGGTCGGCGTCGGGCCGCCGGTCGTCGGCGGCGGATGACCCTGAGACGGGCTGACCGAGGTGGTAGGACTTCCTGGTGGCCTAACCACCGCGCTGGTCACCGCCATCCTCGCGTTCGACAGACCGGCAGCTACCCCGAGGGGATGATTCGTGGTGGTGGCAGCTACGCTGACCAACGACGAACCGGCTGCGCTCAGGATCGCACCGGACACCGGCGAGGCCGATGAGGACGTCAACGACGAGCTCGCTGTCACAGGACACTGCAACACCAGGTCGAGGCGTTTTCACGTTAGGTTACGCTGTTGAAACAAGGCGAGAAGGAGTTTCAGAGATGAACGGCTCGTTTTACAGAGCTTGCTGTATACTTATATTTTAAATTATATCACTGTCTTAATGGCTTTTGTCGAAGTGTTAAATACACAAAGAGATATGTACATGTATCAATAAAATATATTGAACGGCACGCGTTGTTGTTTGAATGACGCACAATACCCACTCCAATAAAAAAAAGAAAAATGAAAAAGAAATGAAATTTTAACGTGTGACTACAAAGTTTGCTGTAAACACGTAAGACTCGTAGAAGTTTTGAATATTCCCCGGGCACATATCGCAATCTAAACACGAATGTTTGCATTACATCGTATCGCTATGAAACGTACATACGTCAAACAGGGAGAAGGATAACTTTCGTATCTGTGCGAAAACAAGATGTTACGTCTTTTAACGAAATCGTTTTCTGACGGAAGCTTAAATACCGACACGTTTCGTTTCACGCTGTTTGCTTCAAATTCTCCGCGACTAGGCCACAGCCTGCTCTCGCTCGGCAAACAGAGCCCTCAATGAAACAGAGTACATTTATGTTCCATGGGTCATCTATTTGCTTCCTCTTCTCTTTACCTTCTCGCGTTACACGCCAACTACTCCCCCATTTTCCCCACGATTTTTTATCTCAAACTTAACGTTTAGTTTCGTCCTCTGCTTTCTCAAAGCTATGCTCTAATTAGCTTTGAAACAGAGTAGATTCGGAATAAAAAATGATGGCAGCTTAAATTCATGGCAGAATGGCAGAAAGTGAAAGTTGAATGAGGTCTGGGATTTGCAAACACGTATCGGGGGTTTGATTCTATCGCCAGCTCGGTTCCAGAGACACCGTGTATCATCGTGTATCGTCATCGTCGATGACGAAATTACGGAAAACTAGTGGATGTTTCTGCGCTTGTAGACGCTCGGCCGACAGGCGGGTACACGCGTTACATCTCACTCGAGCGTGCTAGGTACACACGCGCGGCTCCACATTAACATAGTCAAAGTTTACTCTCGACGAGGCTACCGTGTCGTTTCCTACGTCGAAGATTCGCTGACTATGTCGAGCGACGCGTTCCTCTAATCGCCGCCTCCTCCAATTGCAAGGCTACAAAATGCAGTTCACTGTAACGTCGTCGCCGTTTGCTTGAAAGTAAGATCTGTTCGCGAATATCATTGCGAACGGTGTTATAAAGTTTTCTATCTGTCCAAAAGCAACGAGATCGACACGGTAGGCGTTTCGGTAGCTGCTTAAAAGCGAATTAATGGAGGTTGATCGCGAGAAAATCGATCGAAATCGTTATGAAACACGGACTACGAGATATCTCGTGTTCGATTGCAAGTCCGGTCGGTTTAGCGTTTCTTCGAAACGAGGCCGGGTAATGTCGGCTCGTCGACAGGCAGTTTTGATACGTTTTACAAATACATTCTGGAAGTTGGATACAAAGTCGGAGTTGGTGAAAAATTCCTGAGCGAATTCCGAACGAGAACTCGAACCGTCCACCGCGCAGTAGCCATTGCGTATGCCAGTGTAATTTGAGCGACGTTATCGAAACACGAGAATAAACGACGCAAGATTTCCATATTAATCGAACAACTTTCTCTCCGAACGAATGAAAATCCTCGGTATTCGTCGCGCATACCGAGCGACGAGGAACGGACCGTTTCCACGTCCGATTGTTTCCGATTTACGAGACAATAAACGCCTTTGGTGACGCGTTATAATCGCCTTGCAGAATCGAAAGAGCAGCTGCGCGAAAGGAGCGGAAGGTGAAGGGAGCCCGAAAGGACTTTCCAGCAGCGTGAAAAAGGCGCAGGCAACTGCCAGTAAATCGTGGCCACCTCTGATTCTCCCCTTTCTTTTTTCTCTCTAGCCATGAAGGTAAACCGAGAATCAGGGCCGCGCACATAATAGCAGGGGGTGCTCATTAATTCCATATCAAACAGCACGGCTAAATAGATTAGCGGGTTGAGTGGCTTTCGCGCCCCGTAGCCTAAACAAACCCCCGTTCGAACGTCCCTACAGGGTCGTGCGAGTCTCCCAAACCATCCCATCCGTCCACATCCATCCATCCATCCATCTATCCGTCCGTCGCGTCACCTCGCCTCGTTTCGATGGCCCCGAACATATTGTCGAAAGCCAGCCGGGCATTGTGCCGCTAGGAAAAACGTGACCCACCGCGCATTATGGCATCGAGAGCGGCGTTAATGCGTGTCCCGGTTCCGCTTTTGCCTCTTGTTCTCCCTCGATGCTTTTCCAGCTCCAACTGCCTGCTGCAGTTCGATCACGATTCCTGCAGACCCGCTTGTGTATACCTTGTAACCCTGTGCGTCGCTCGGCACCGTTCTGGGATATCGAGACCGATCGACGATAAAACACGATACTCTCGTTTCGTTAATACGCCCGCTTTACAACCTTCGATATTTTCATATTTTCGAATCACGGTTCGTAAGGAAAAAATCCTCGATCTTGGACAATGCGAAGAAGACGCGAAGGATACTGCGTTCTCACCAGGTATCGTAAGATTCCACGGGTCCGCGAGAAAAGCGGAGGACAGGAAGAATGCGCTTCGGGGCTCGGGATCGGACTCGGGGTTAAACGACGAAGCGTGTTGGCGAGTGTCCGCTGCCACGGGCCATAATTCAGTGCTACGGGCCCCGAGAAGAAGCCAGCCGGCAGTCCCTGAGTTACTTCACGCGATCGCATCGAGAAGATGCTGTACCAAGCCGCTGGCAACCGTGCACAAGCCAGAGACCGGCAACTATATCACCCTGGACCCGTGCTGTTTGCTCGCGTCGCCTTTAAAGTAGCGTTCAAGGTAGCGCCCCGTGTACCATCCAACCAGATCCTCCAAGTATGACCCTCTCTCGTCGTCGCGAGCAACCAGCCGGAGAACGATAATTATTCGTACGCCAGGGGATCGATATATCGAGGCATTAGCCCGATACGTTGGCTCGTTTGTTCCACGACCATGCTAATTGCCGCCACCACGATTTCTCCTCCGCGTCGCACCGCACCGGGGAACACAGGCTCGAACGGAAGCTGAGACCATCGTCACGTACCATGGCGTGCATTACGATACGATTATCGCGGCCAACTGTACCAGGTTCGTTCGAACGTGCCAAGGGTGGAATTTTAATTTAGACTTAAAATTTATAATCAAATTTTGCAGAAAATCCTCTATGATTCCGTCGACGGTCGGTGATGATGTTCGTTGTCTCGCATACCTGTGTCGGTCCTACGAAAAACCGATATATCGTGCTCTTAGGGCTGCGAGTCGACGATGAATGATCGATAGACGTCCGATCCTGGCGGAGAGAAAAAACTTGAAGTCCTCGGGTAGAAACGGTTGTGGCTGCTAGAGAAACCAGTACCTCTTTTCTTCTCCCTCTTTGAACGTACGGCCACGATCAGCCTTTGGTACACGCGTTTTATGACGCGATTTATATGCACAATGTAACAGTCGCGTCGACGTGGGAACACGTTACGTCGCGATCCTCGTGTGTCGTTCCTTTCTTCTGCTCGTACCGACAAGAACTGTCCCTTCGTTCCTCTCGCCATTCTTCCAGCGAGGAAAGATCATCGGGTCCAGGTCCGCAGTAAGGGCACGCGATCTCGATGCTAAACATTGACCAATGGTATTTTTCCCCCCCCCCCCCGTCAGACATTGCCACCGTTGCTCACCTCGTTCAGATTTATTGCTTATCCATATTCAGTAACGAAATCGTCCCTCTTCGACGCGTTCATTGTCGACGGTTCTGTTCTTGAGAAATGGAAAAACTAACGGATACTATTTGAGAACGGCGATTCCGCGCTGATTCGCACAATTATGGAGCTTAGTTCGAAAAATGGAATGTTGAAAAATTTGTTGTTGCACGATTTCTAGATTCGAAGGAGAGTTCGGTTATCCTGTGGACACAGATGCACCGCTGTTTGCAGACGGAGCATTTGTCACGCGTGTCCTGCGAGAGAAAAGGGACCGGTCGATGATGCCCTCTTTGCAACGAGGCCCAGCCAAGTCAATATTGACTGCAAGCCCAGATTGATGGACCTTCGCCGCGTGTGTGTTTAGGCCTCACGGCACTCACTTATGTTCCCACCCTGGTCTCGTTAGTCTCTGTTTAACTCGCCCCTTGTTCCACGATCGTCCGATCGTTCGGGGAAACACGAAATACACGCTTTTATAACACGCTTGCTTTTTCTTAATATCATTTTAAAAGTTACGCTCTCGAGGGAATCATTTTAATCATACCAATCTCGCGCTGTTTCGAGCGAAACCGAACTACTTCGGGGAACAACGATTCACCGTCTTATTTATTCTTATTTATTCCACTTCCCCCTCGATCGACAGAGTGATTACGAAACGAAGACACGGCTCATTCATACTCATCGAGCGGAAAAAAAAGAATCGTCGGATGGTGAGCAAATTACACCTCGCCGACCGTAAACGCATGCTTTTACGAAATCGTTGTATTTATATACACCATATGTTCCAAGAAATTTGCCAACTACATATTACTTTCATTCAGAAGGAAAAATGATCGACCTTCGAAATTATGTTTCAATGTATCGCGAGCACGAAATCGAAACAAATGCGTGAAAGTTTCTGAATTACTTCCTGTATCGCAGGATACATTCAAACAATCGGATAAAAATGTTGTGTCAAAAGAACAGAAAAATTGATTGCGAAGCCAAATTGCAACGAAATGAAATACTTGTTTCTAGAAGAGAACGAGAAAAAATGAATGCGCGATTGAAGAAACGGAAATGCCGGAAGTCCCAGGGAAAACAGCGCGATACGAGGAGACGTTAGAAAGCTTCTTGTAAGGGAGCTACGAATGTAAAACGAAATCTGATAAACCGTGAAATCGGTCGTTCTCACGGGGTTACACGATCGTGGTCTCGCGTCTATCACGCGGTATCTGTCTAAATTAATTCGCTCCTCTTTACTAATCGCTAAGCTCTTTCATGCTCGCGAGAGAGTAGCTTGTTATC